CGTGCCACCTGCGTGTCAATCATAGGTAACCGGGTAAGAGCCGCTCATCTCCATCGATTTGACGGCTGAGCACGATCCCCACTATTGTCATCATTGCCCATCACTTCCACTTCCTTTCAATTGCAATAAAGCCGCCACGCCGCTGCATAATGTTGTTCCACCCATAGTTTTAAAACCGGACCAGACCGGACCGGCCAGTTCGAACCGTGAACTGGCGAACCGGCAGTACAACCGGTCCGGTCCAATTGGACCGTAATGTGTTTCTAACCGGTCAAAACAGTTTGAACCAGTAAGACCCCGGCCGGTCAGACCGTCCCGCCCAGTTTTTTTTGCGATTTTTTTCCAAAACATGACTCTGTGAGGGTTTGAACTCAAGACCTCTTTGGCATTTGCCTAAGTTTCTAACCATCCCAGCAAGGAAGCTTGTTGTTACAAGTTCACATAATAAAAAGGTTGTATAAAACTTTCTTTTCAATTTTAATAATATAATATTATATAGCTATGAGTCAAACACAAAGTCATTGATATTATTGATACTATTACAAAATTCAGATCATGCAAAGATTTTGTGTTTTTTAATATTAAACATCTTACTTGAAAAAAATAAAATCAACTCTTCATTTATAAAATTTTAGTATTATTTTTTTATTATGTAAATTTCATTTTTCAATTTAGTAAAATAACTCAAGTATATTAATATAATTTTAGTCAAATGTTATAAATTACTTTCTTTAGGTATGTATAAATGGAATGTGTGTGTATGTGTCTATATGTATGTGTGTGTATGTGTTTATATATATATATATACACACACACACACACACATGTGTGTGTGTGTATATATATATATGTGTGTGTGTGTGTGTATATATATATATGTATATATATATATATGTATATATATATGTGTGTGTGTGTGTATATATATATATATATACATATCCTTTATATATATAAAGCAGACTCGGAGTTGCAGGAATGCGACATTTGGCAGAGCTATAATGTGACATTTGGCGGAGCTATAATGTGACATGTGGCAGAACTGATGTGTCGCCTTCTTAAAGAACTAATTGTGTGATGGCAAGCTTAGGTGGCAGAGAATAAATCTATTCATAAAAGGAAAATGCAAAATAAAGAACTAATTCATGGAATATGCATACATTACTTTCATCTTCTTCGGAAATTTCTTAAAAACGAAAATGAACAAATATAAAATGTTTTTTTATTACTTTTAAAAAATAAAAATATATGTTTGGGTTTTGAAATGCATATTCACGATCTCAATAAAACGTAAAAGTTTGGGATCGGAACTATGCAAAATAATAATAATAATAATAATAATAACTAACGTTTAAAAACTAACATTTAAAGAAATAGTTTCCTAATTTGAAAAAACAATATTTTAAACGAAATTGATTTTTATTGGCATGTTTATTTAAGAGAGTATTAATAACATTTCATACACAATAAAAAAAATTAGGTCTAACAAAAAATTATGCTCCATTTTAAAATTAGTATTGTGTATTTTAAAATTTAATTTTTATATTACTAAATGGTACACACTTTGTTTATAGAGAAATATATAGAATTTGGAAACTATAATAAAAGTTATTAATGAAGAAAAGGTATAAAATTTTTAATATTTACGTGCTTAAAAGTGATACTACAAATATTAAATCTTTATATATAAAATTTAAGAGTCGGCTTCCAAAATTACATGTGGCATGTTTAGTAGACAACTTTTTTAAACATGTCCGCAATCATACATTGACTAGAACT